CATTATGTATATGTAACGTTCTCACAGTGGGATATAAAACTGTTTTTTTTTTTTTTACCTTCCCGGGCAATCTTCCTGGTCTTTTCTCTGGTCTTTGTGTGTGTGTGTGTGTGTGTGTGTGTGAGAGAGAGAGAGAGAGAGAGAGTGTGTGTTTGTATGTGGTGAGAAAGCCAATCAGTTATACTGACAAAATCTGAAGTCTGAAATTGTAAGCACATTTTGTAATAGTAATTGCAAAAATGTGCTTGTGGGATAAAGATTTCTCAGTATTAAGCTATACTGCACACATTGCAGCCACCAAGGGAAATGTTAACAAAGCCAGTACCTTGCATACTTATTCCTGTCCTAATTTTGGTATTCAAATTATATCTGTAAATTGAATTACACCTTTTTGTTGTTTTTTCCCCCTGCATAGAATCTAATTATTTTATCCTGTTTTGAGGCATGCTGGCAAAATGACATTTAATTAAATACGGTTTAATACTTATATATTCATCACCATGTGTTTTTTTTTTAGCTCGCGTAATTTGCTGTGAAATAGCTTTCTTAAAATTCATCCTGTTGTCCTAGACTATTTAAATAAGTCCTAATTTATTTTTGAGAACAACATTAGCATCATTCAAACAGGCTGCTCCCAAAAAAACACATGAAGGGAACAACAAACCCTTAAAGTTAGCATGTCACCCAGCAGAGGGCAGCTAGATGTGCCGGCCTTGTGCTCTGCCCAAACTGCCTGGGAAGATCAGAGGAACTCCACTTAAGTCAGCAGGAGGAGGACATATGGAAAGGGGCAGGAAATGAGAAACAGAGGATTCTGAGCTCTGCATCCCATTGGGCAGCTGTTATTCCCCTCTGCCTGTGCAGTGCATCTGCCAGAGAGTCCTTCATGGAGCCCCTGTTAGCACTTCTGCCTCTCACCCTGCTCCACGCTACCATCGTCTCTGGGGCCATGGACTCCTGTTACGATGAGCGGGGTTCTGCCACCCGCTGCATGCCCAGGTTTGAGAACGCCGCCTTTGAGAGGACCGTGTCGGCCTCCAATGTGTGCGGCTCGCCACCGGAGGATTATTGCATGCAGGCCGGCTCGTCGCGCTCCTGCAGCCACTGCGACGCTTCCGACCCCCGCTGGCACCACAATGTCACCTTCCTGACGGACTTCCACAGTGACGAGGAGCCCAGCTGGTGGCAGAGCCAGTCTATGCTCTACGGGGTTCAGTACCCTCAGTCCGTCAATCTCACCCTGCACCTGGGTAAGAATATCCATTCTTCTATGACAAATCGCAAACCTATATAAATAATCAGTTATCGGGTTTTAAGATTAATTTTTGCTTGTCAGGTTCTAACAGTAACTTACACTATTCGACTGTGAAATTCTCAAAGACCAGCCTCTTTGTGAAGCAGTTTTTCCTTTAAATGTCTGTTGCGCTTTTATGCTTTTGCATGTTGAAAACCGCATAAGCCACAGAAGTAGTTTAAAAGTCTTATTCTCAAAGTCTAAGTCAAAGGTATCTGCAGCTGAAAATAATGTCACGCTCTCATATCATTGATGTCAAGCCAATCAAATAAAAAGAGAAAGGTTCTGAAAAATCAAGTATAAAACATGGATGTTTATTTATTTCCACTGAACCATTGTCTGTAAGATTTTCTAAGAGACAGTTGGTAAAGCAGAGGAGACAAAGTATTTAAAACATTTATTGCTTTTTAATACAAGTGAAATAATAGAAATATTACAGGATACAGCTCCATCTGGCTGCAATTCAGACTGGCAGTTCTACAAGTCAGTATGATATCGCTTGTTTTGGCAAGTATTTTTCATTCAAAGGCATTCAAAATTGCTTACCTTTTCCACTCAGAAGTTAAGCCAAAAACAGCCAATTGAACAATTCAGGAAATTGTGTTCCGAAAAAAAATTCACCATTGTTGTTTTTACCCCAATATCTGGGTCACACTACTGCTCTCATTTTATAATCACTAAGAGTGAAACCCATGTCTCATTAAGATATGGGTTATTCACATACAATGTTAGAGCAGTATGAACCCAAAAAAGTAAAACTCAATGTGTTCTGAATTAAATACAGCCGATTTCAGGAGGTTAACACTAGTCAGTTAACACTAGTCAGTTAACACTAGTCAGTTAACACTAGTTGGTCAGAGGCTGAGGCAGTAGTGCTGTACTTCATATGACTCTGATTTATAGAAAAAAAATTCCAAAGGCTTGTTAACAGTAACAGAGAGATGCGAGTTGCAGGTTTCTTCCATGTCAGGCTGTGCCACTTGCTTCCTGAGTGTTTCTTTCTTCCCCTTCCATGTACAACAGCCCGAAAATGCAGAGGAGAAACTTTATGACGGCACATATGCACAGACATACACAAAGAGCTCCAGGCACAGACAGCCTTCAGGTCAAGAATGTGTTGGGCAAACAAACAAAAACACAGCAAAGGAAATAAATGGTGGGCGGTCTGTCCGCTCGGATTTAGGGTCAGGGTTTTCCCAGACACACACCAGGCGAGTGCATCTGGTTTCAATTCGGTGGCGTTAAATGAAAGGACTTCCTGTCTGGGATGAAAGAAGTGAAGGAAGATGTTGTTGCGGGGAAGCGGCGTTTCATGCCTACGCAGGCTAGTGATGTCCCGTTTCTGCTGTGGGAAAAGTCTGCCTGTGTTTCGTTAGGCCAATAAATTAACTGCTAACTTGAAAATCATAAATCAAACATCCTCAAAGTACAAAATATTTCTGCCCTAGGAAAGCCTGGTTCATTTAATGCAAGTTAGACCTATTTATCATTCGCAAAACACGTGTGTAGTAGTATGATTTCTACGTATAATTTTTTAAGTGTCTTATAAGCATTGTAAGTAATTAATAAATAATACGTCCATCCATCCATCTTCTAGCTGCCTATCATAGATGGGGCCATGGGGGATTGTAGCCTATAGGCAACACAGGGCACAAGGCTGGAAACACACACAGCCGCATACTACAGGCAATGAATACATGCCAACTAACTCTGAATGTCTTTAGACTGAGAGAGGAGAGGAAAGTAATAAGGGAACCCCCCCCCCCCACACACACACACACACACACACACACAGGCAGAACATGGAAGATTCTCCAAGGTATGCTCTCCCTAGAAATATTTCAATAAATATTTTGATTACAAGCTAAATCTTGTGCTTTTCTAAAGGCAAAATTACAGCAGTGCAAACAGCTGCACTCTTGTGTATAGTCTGGCAACCTAAAAAGTGCATCTTGTTTATGGTTCTAAACCTGCTGAGCTCTTTTTATACCAAAATGATGTTGGCAACAGCGTTTATGTATAAATCCATGAATGGGATGTTTTATGGCATCTTACGTTCATGGACAGTGAAGAATTTGTGTTTTTTCTGGTGAAAAAGGTCTTCATTTTTATAGGATTGTCATCGTGAGGAAGAGAGACACTTCACTTGTTATCAGCAGTTTCAGCACTAATTAATAGTTAACAGTTGTCTATGAATTTAGATGAAGTATGCATGTGTATGTATTGTGTTTCAGTACAGACATGTGGGCAGTCGCTCTGTCCATCACTACTCATCCAGCACAGCGTCAGAAGGGAGTCTGCAGGCTACACGAGGCAGCACAGTACTCATCCAGCACAGGGTCAGATGGGAGTCTGCAGGCTACACGAGGCAGCACAGTACTCATCCAGCACAGGGTCGGAAGGGAGTCTGCAGGCTATACGAGGCAGCAAAGTACTCATCCAGCACAGGGTCGGTTGGGAGTCTGCAGGCTATACGAGGCAGCACAGTACTCATCCAGCACGGGGTCGGAGGGGAGTCTGCAGGCTATACGAGGCAGCACAGTACTCATCCAGCACGGGGTCGGAGGGGAGTCTGCAGGCTATACGAGGCAGCACAGTACTCATCCAGCACGGGGTCAGATGGGAGTCTGCAGGCTATATGAGGCAGCACAGTACTCATCCAGCACGGGGTCAGATGGGAGTCTGCAGGCTATATGAGGCAGCACAGTACTCATCCAGCACAGGGTCGGTTGGGAGTCTGCAGGCTCCTGCTAGACCACGCACACAATGAGCGATTTACAGGTCATTGAACTGCAGGCATAAACCTGCACAATACGCAAAGTCAACACGCACAGATACAGTGGGGGAAGGAGTCTAACCTCTAGCCTTTAAGGTGTGAGGCAATAGCAGTACACACTGATCCACTAATACCCTGTCACAAAAATGAGCTCATTATGAATTTGTTCATTTTCCATGCCCACTTACCCTTTGCAGGGTTATGGAGCTAGTCCTGCAGGCAATGGACATGAAGCAGGAAATAAGCCAGGATGGGATGCAAACCATTGCAGGACATTCACAACAGACAAAGTGATCCCCTATCACCACTCCAGCCAAAAAGCAGGCTGCCTTTTTCTAACACTGTAGACCTCAGTGCAGGTTTTAATTAAGGAGGTTGCTTTTTGTAAGGGCTCCAAAAAAATCCATGTTCTGTCTTCATTAGCAGGACTACAGTCGAAGGCTCATATCTGCAATGTGTCTTTTTTTATTTGCCATATCTTTATAGTACAATATAGGACGATATGAGAATTTTATGAAAAGGCTCACTTTGTGCCAAAGCTGACTCCAAGTACCATTCATTTCCAGACAGATTCACAACTTGACCTTTAGACGTCCTCAAGAATATAGTGTTACTTCCAGAAACATTGCAAGTCTAATTTACAATTTAGAGTTATATCTGAACCACAGTTCCTTTCTTTGTCTATTTGTGTTATTCATATCCATCCAGCTCCGTCGTGGGAAGGGGCCACAAGCTATAGAAGCAGAACAGGCTGGGCATCAAGCTGGGCCTGATTCCAGTCCACACACAGCCATACTCTATAGCTACAGGATTTTATACAATGCTAAGATGCATCAGTATGATCATGTGGGCAATATGTAATGATCAAATCTTACCTGTCATTTCAAGGTCATTTCAAATTCCTGCAGTACAGGCAGTCCAAGAAACAGTTGGATAATGGTTGGATGCTTGGAATTATTGACCTAATAAGTATCAGGGTCACCAGTGGCCTTTGAACAGCTTCAGGCCTTCTAGGAGTGCTGTCACACAAGCTCTGAACTGTGTATAGGTAGATATTGAACCATTCTTTAAGAAGTCTCCTGTCCTTGGGGGGATGAGCAAGGTAGAAATACACTTGACCCTCCATGCGCCATGAAAGTTCAATGATGTTTAGATCTGGTGACTGAGGAGGCCATTGAAGGTGTTCATGAAATGGCAATACAATGCTTTTCGATTTAGGGTGGCCTGTGCTCTGTGCTTCCTCTAATAGGCTTCAGACTCAGCAGGACCCTATACTAGATAAAAACAGAAGATGGACGTAACCAGAGATAGAAAGTTCAGGTCCAGAAAGTACAGATCCAGAGATTTTGCATGAGACAACTCTGTCTGAACCAGTACTCTGCGATTGTGACTCTTTATTCTCAACTGGTTGATTGCAGGAAAATCTCGGTCTGGATTTGTACTTTCTGAACCTGAACTTTCCACCTCTGGATGTAACACTATATAGCAGGGAGGGCTTCCCTTTTGGATCATTTTGGTAACCCTCATTAGCATATTCATTTGTGTCCGGTTTAGGTGAAAACACCGGTGAGTGTCATTAAGGTACATCTCTCCCACTCCATGCCCTCTGAAGTTGCTGACGTGTGGTCTTTGGTGTGTTGTGGGTTTCCCAGATCGCTCCTACTGGGGGTTTTCTTGCTGACTCAAATATGGGAGCCCAGGCCATCATGTCCAGCATCATGTCCAATTTGGTCCAACAGCACTACCCATGCTGTTGGACCAAATTGGACATGATGCTGTTTTTTTCCCATTGATTTATCTGGGTTTTTTCTGCAACTTTTCAGCTATATGTCACTATCATTTGTTTCAGCTTTAGTTCTAACTGGTTTCACCTGAGCTTTCCCTGCCGCTCTGTGTAGTTTGCTTGCTTTCGTCTCCTAGCACTGTACTGATTTTGACAACCGTCGTTCTGCAGCTATGTGGGTATCATGCTCTTAGGGTTTCGACTTTGTGCAGGGGTTTGTTTTATCGTACCTTTAGCTTTTCCCGATGGAGTCGGACCCCTGTGGGGAGGCTAGTCACAGGGTGGTGATGTTCCCACACTGCAGGAGAGGCCAGAATGCCGTGTGGAACGTTCACTCTTGGGGCTGCTGTGTTTGTGGGTGTTCGGTGTGGGAGGTGGGCTCCCCTTCTCAGCTAGCTTTATTGTTTTTATGGGAAATTATAGCCCATAAACAGGTGCTGTGTGAAGGACTGTAGCTCCCAGATTTTCGAGTTGCATGGCAGTCCTTTGTGTGGGGGTGTCCATTTATATCTGCAAACCAACTGACATTTGCTGACTCAGAGCTAAATGAAACGCGTGTATATGCATGATAAAATATTTAGCATTGATTACCCACGCCTATGGCTTCTGTGTATTACAGATCTGTACAGTATGTCCTCCTTGCGAAGGCAATAGTTAGTTCTTCGGGTGAAATTCCCGAAGTGCTGCAGTCGGTGGCACTACCGGGCGCTGGGAGGGAGCAAAAACCTGGACTGTCTGTGGGTCCCCGAGGACCGGATTGAGAGAAACGGCCTTCGATTATAATGGCTCCATAGAACAGTCCCCCAGAGCCCCTGCCAGCCCACTGGGGTGACCGGTGCTGAATGAGCTACATGCACTTATCTTCCAGCCTTAAACAGAGCTACTGTTTATTCTGTGCGGCGTATGGCGAAGGACCTGGGAGCAGAAAAAAAACTGTGACACAGACGCTAGAGCCACCGGCCCAACGGCAGCATGAAGACCACAGCCGGTGTGACGCGCATTTATCAGCAGGAATGTAGCTGGACACTGAGTTTTGTCGTAGTATATAGGGTAATGACAATAAAGCTCTCCTGTCTTCTAAAACTTAGCGCATAAGCATGTCAGTAGAAAATAGTCTCATGATCTACCTGTAAAGTATAACTTTAAAGGAGCAATGAGCTATGAGATTGGTTTTAGGACTAGAGGTGCTAAATTACTTTTGGTTCAGGGAGGCATGTGGCACATTGGTCAAGGCAATACTAGTAACCTAAAGTTTTCTGGCTCAAGCCTGCTGGGGAGTCTCAGCGAGGGAGGTGACCTGACTGCTCCAGTAAAATTCAATGTATGATGCAACCTTAGGTGGAAAAAAGGGGATTTCAAAATTTTGTGTTTAATTCTCATACTTACTTTTATATTGTTACAGCAATATTATAGCATCATTTAAGAAGTAACTGCATAGTTATTTGATTTGATGAACAGTTGGATGTAGGATGTGAAAAAAATGACTTTTTTCCAGGCTATCAGAGTAGTAAAAAAATTAGACAAAACTTCTAACTTTTTTTTCCCTGTGAAACCTGAACGTTCTTATATAAAAATCTGAAAAAGCAACAGATTAAGGGAGAGTGGCGGCATTTCTCTGCACGGGTCACTTCTGGCTGCGTCGTGTCCTTCTACATCATTTCCCTCCATTTAAATCAATTTGCTTCTGCATCATTTAATCTCCGAATGAAGTCAAGTGGGCAAGTACCGAAAAAAGAACTGACATCAATAAAATTATGCATTTAAAATATGTCCCAGTTGCAAAACTTTGGTTTATTACTTTGAATCTCTGAAGAATGTGTACTGGGCAAAGCATTAAGTGAGTTTTTTTTTTCTACAACAAGATTAAGATGAAATAAAATAGTTATTTAGCCTTTAGAGCATCTTTCTGTCCGTATTCACGTTTAACATTTATGGTTTACCCTGGGGGGACATGGTGGCCCTGTGATTAATGTAGTTACCTCCCACCTTGGGGGACCAGCGTTCAAGTCTCCACCCCAGCTGTACATGTGTGGAGTATGAATGTTCTCTCCATGTCATCCAAACCCTTCCTACAGGCTCCCTGTGTGTTTTAACAGCAGGTCAAGTTGTGAAACTGTCTGGAAATGAATAATACTGCGAGGCAGCTTTGGCACAAAGTGAGCCTTTTCATAAAATTCTCATATTATCCTACATTGTACTATAAAGATATGCCAAATAAAAAAATACACAGTGCAGATATGAGCCGTTGACTGTAGTCCTGCTAATTAAGACAAAACATGTTTTTTTTTAGAGCCCTTGCAAAAAGCAACCTCCTTAAGACCTGCACTGAGGTCTACAGTGCTAGAAAGAGGCATAGTGCTTTTTGGCTGGAGTGGTGATAGGGGATCATTTTGTCTGTTGCAGAACTAACATATATTACAAGGCTCCCTTCCACTGTATCCTTCACTTCGAGGGAAAATACACCATTATTCCAGCTTTTCTCTGTCTTTAAGGAGCTCCTTTGGGATTATCCAGTAAGTCTTGCCCTCAATTTAGAACAAGGTTAACCTATATTTATTTCAAACTTCTCCATTTGCACTGTGTTTACAAGGTAGGAGAATAACATTTTTTTTTTCTTCCAGATACAGCCCCCAAGATCGTAGTCCCTAGTTTTCTATAAAACTCCTCGGACTCCGTCACAGTAGCCTAGCACGCAGAATATTTGTCTTTGATGTCCGGAAGCTAATTTTTTATGTTTCAGTTTGCAAATGTTGAATGAGAAAACATGAGAAATCGTGTACCGCCACCTCCCTAGTAAATAGAGGTTCCATCAGAAAAAAATACTTGTGCCATTCTCTTGCTTTTCTCTTTGTTGACAAGAAATACCAATTAAAGTTAACTATAACTTTATATTAATTATTTACACTAATTAATGAAGTGGCAAACTAAATAAAACATGCACTGGAGAATCGCTCATTCCCTGTTCCCACCCTTTTCCATGCCTTCCAATTCTACAGCATAAGCAAGATCCTGTGACCTTGTAATTATTTTCATGCATCTGTTTTTCCTGTAGGTAAGGCTTTCGAAATAACATACATCCGGCTGAAGTTTCATACCAGCCGGCCCGAGAGCTTTGCCATCTATAGGAGGAGCCAGGAGGCGGAGCCTTGGCTGCCGTACCAGTACTACAGCGGCTCCTGTCAGAGGACTTATGAGAAGGCTGCCAAGGGATACCTTCAGCCCGGCGATGACGAGAGGACGGCCCTGTGCACGGACGAGTTCAGCGACATCTCCCCTCTGACGGGGGGCAACGTGGCTTTCTCCACCCTGGAAGGCCGCCCCAGTGCCTACAACTTCGACCAGAGCCCAGTGCTTCAGGTGAAACAGACGGCGTGCTTGTGCTTGCATGCGTTGGCTTTTTCTGTCCTCGTGGGGAAGAGCACTGTAGAAGTTTCACTCCAAAATGAGCCCCTTCAAAGGAGACGTGCTTTGCATCCTTAAAGAACAAAAGTCGCAACTGTTTCTATGTTGTTAACGTTCGTTCACATTTCAGGTGGGAACTTCATTAGTGTGTGTGTGTGTCCCTTTGTGAAAGCACTATCAGAGTTCGAATTATAAGCAGGATTTGGGGGGGGGGGGAGAGATAGGGGATCCGACCCCCTTGATTAAAACTTAAAATCCCCCAAAGGGTAAAAACAGGGGATTGACACATTTTTACAGCCATCTCACCTGTAATTGTAAACCAGTGCTCCTGCATCTTACACACTGCAGTGCAGTACACTAAACATCAACATTTTTTTTCCTTCAACCACTACTGAATTGTTTAGTAATGTACAAACATAACTTAACCTTGACGTTAGTTGAATGTTTCGTCTGCCTACGGTGTCAAATCAGACTCACTACAACTTGAATTTAAATTTATTTACCCCCAACATGAAGTTTAACCTGAACTTGAATTTCATTACCTGAATACCAGAATCTGAATATGTTTACCAGAACTTCAATTAAAGAACCCAAATTTAAATACCTTTAAATGAATTTGAATTAAAGAAATCAAATTTAAATTTATTTCCTTGAATTTATGTCGCTTTTGTGGTAATAAAACTTCAAGTTCGGCTTGTAAGATTCAGGTCAAGAAAATGCAAGGTGAGAAATTCAGGTTGAGAAAAACAGGGAAAACATCCCAGATACTCAGGAAGAGCAAACGAGCGTAGATCTAATCAAGCACAATCCTGGCCAATCACAAGGCAAGTCGCCAATCATTTTGGAAGAGGTTTTGTACATCTACCACCTTTATACAGGGACTGATAACATGCTGCAAACTCAGAAAACACTTACAACATCCAACAGACACATACAGAACAAAAAAATGTTGCAAATCCACTCACAACACAAAGGAAGTTTCTGGGGGAAAATAAAACTAGACAAACCATTATGGCTGGGTGGTATATTGAATGTTTACAATATATTGATATATTTTTTAAATGAGATATTGGATGACACAATATTGTTTATACCAATATACTTTTATCGTGCATTAAAATTGAGAGTTTATTATATATTTTGAATAGAGACTAATAGTATTCCTTCCGGTGGTGACATTGCACAGAATCCTTGCATTCACAGGTAAAATCAAACCATTTAGGTAGCATCTCACTCGGAATTTGATGGAGTGGACGAATCATTGTTACTTCGTTCATTGTGTTTTAAATCATTGCCAAACAGCTCACATTAAACATATCAGAATTGGCAGTTATTGTTTATTTCTTTTGCTGATGGCTAAGGCTTTAAATCAGATTTTTGTAGGTGATACACACACTTTCAATGGTTATCAGGATTCTATTTTTAGAGCCATTTGTGAAATAGGTTTTAGATTTAGATTATTTATGAACAGAAAAAAATCTTTCACGTTTTGAGAGCAGTATCACAAACAGAGGCAAACAGTCCAAGGACGTAGTGGAGTGAAAGGCTTTTATGTCAGGGCTTCGTTATCAGAAACAGGCAACAAATACAAGGCATAATTTACTTTTGTCATTATTTTGAGACTTCTGTTAGGAATAAAGAAAATGTCTATACTGGATAGTTGTATATTTGCAAATTGGGAAGGAAGTTCTATATTTGCATTTCATTTTGGCTACATATTAATAAAACGGTTTGTGTAGTTTTAATTGAAATCTGAACATTTAGCATTCTTCATTGAAAATATCGTGTATCACTAAACTGCCTAAAAATACCGAGATAATGTTTTTGGTCCCTATCACCCACCCTAAGGACCATAAAGCGGAGACCAGGAACATGTTTTTTTTAAGATAACTATGACTATGTTTACATTCAATAACTTGCATAAGGTGCTTACATGCGTTTTTAATACCCCGATTAATGTGTTTACATGACTAGCTCATTAAGAACACACGAGAAAATCTTAACTGGGTTATTGCATGCACACATTTTCTGTGGCTGTCTTGAAGGGTTAATAGCAGGAGTAGGTCAGGAGGACAGGCAGCAGGCAGGAGTAGGTCAGGAGGATAGTCAGCAGGCAGGAGTAAGTCAGGAGGACAGTGAGCAGGCAGGAGTAGGTCAGGAGGACAGGCAGCAGGCAGGAGTAGGTCAGGAGGACAGGCAGCAGGCAGGAGTAGGTCAGGAGGACAGTCAGGAAGCAGGAGTAGGTCAGGAGGACAATCAGCAGGCAGGAGTAGGTCAGGAGGATAGTCAGCAGGCAGGAGTAAGTCAGGAGGACAGTGAGCAGCCAGGAGTAGGTCAGGAGGACAGTCAGCTGGCAGGAGTAGGTCAGGAGGACAGGCAGCAGGCAGGAGAAGGTCAGGAGGACAAGCAGCAGGCAGCATTAGGTCAGGAGGACAGGCAGCAGGCAGGAGAAGGTCAGGAGGACAAGCAGCAGGCAGCATTACGTCAGGAGGACAGTCAGCAGGCAGCATTACGTCAGGAGGACAGGCAGCAGGCAGGAGTAGGTCAGGAGGACAGTCAGCAGGCAGGAGTAGGTCAGGAGGACAGGCAGCAGGCAGGAGTAGGTCAGGAGGACAGGCAGCAGGCAGCATTAGGTCAGGAGGACAGTCAGCAGGCAGCATTACGTCAGGAGGACAGTCAGCAGGCAGCATTACGTCAGGAGGACAGTCAGCAGG